CTGGGTTCCCTCTCACCTGCATTTGATCCAGAGAGCACTCCCTCTTTATTAAAATTCTTGGTCCACGTCATGTCCCTCCCCTGGGTCACTCTGCCTCACACTCTCCCACACGCACTGGCCTCAGTCGCCTCTGCAGATATCCCCAAGTGCCCGGCCTGTGTGCATGGCCAAGCCCTCCCTTTTCCCAGGTCCCCTATCCTCAACTGTCATCTCCTGAGAAAGGCCGCCCCTGCACTTTCTTTATGTGAGTCTTCACCACCCAGCCCCACACCCTCTGTATCTGCTGACTGATTTTTCACCACCTGGAATATTTTCCTAGGCTTTTGTCCATGAATTTATCAGAGAGCTCATCCAGTAATAAAATAAACCCCATTAAGAGCTGGGACTTTGCTTATTTAATTTTCTGCTCTCTGCCCAGAATTTGACCACGTCTGACACATAGTAGACATGCAGTAAATACGTGCTAAATACATGAATGTTGTTGAAACCTTTCTCCAATGCCCCCTGAGAACGCGTAAGCCCACTGGCTCTCCATTAGAGACAAACAGCTCAATTGCAAAATTTCCCTTCTGATTCACAACTGAATGTCAATGGCATTTCTTGTCGCTGATGAAAAGAGTTTCTGTATTCTAACTAACCCACTAGCTGTCTCCACCTTGATTCGTGGAGCTGGTTTGTCTTCCTTTTCCTGAAATGAACTGGCACATCTTTGGCCTCTGTGTGCACATGTCTACAGACTTGCTTCAGGTCTCCAGGGAATAACTGTTCCAAGAGCTTGAGTTCCTTAGGGAAAAAAAAAATAACCCATTTCTTTAAAAATACATAATTGCTGCCTCTCCTGAGATATTTTTATAGTGTGTCCCTAGAGAAGGAATTCCAGCTGATGGGCCAGTGCAGGGCAGAGGCCCCTAGACAGACTGTCTGGCTCCAACTCATGCTCTGTGCTAACACGGCTAATAGGCGTTAGAATTTTGATATAGAGACGTGCCGTCCTTGATCCTGACTTTGTTCTATAGCGGTCACATCCGGCTGAGAAACACACAGCTGAGGGCCAAGAGCTGCTCGTTTTCTTCATCTCCTCTCTTGTCTGTTTCTGGGGCTCTCGTCTCTCTCTCTCTCTTTCCAACAGATGTCTTGGGAATAGGTTCAGTATTTTATAGAGCAGTACAGAGAGTCAGTTTCAATTGGCAGAGGTTCAGTTTGCCCCACATGAAACTTTGAGCTGATTGGAACTGTTCTACATGTATAATACACATCAGAGCTGCCACAAAACCCTGTTACTGCCTTTATTATCCCACTTTACCCCTCTATCCAAGTTTTCACTGTCACTTCATTCCAGACCCTAAACTCAACACTCAGTCCAGTTAAACTGAGAAAAGGCAGTAACCCTTGATTCATAAGGTGCCCATAATTCTACAAACATCTAATGAAAATGAGCAAACATGTCTGTATAAAACTTGGCTTCAGTTCAGAAATATGTTTAACTCTCAAATGCCTGATAAAACCGTGGGATTGTAGGCTCTGACAACTCCTGCCTGGTGGTCTGGCGAGGGAGAGGGTGCCCACCATGAAAGTGACCTCCACGAAATTCCTGCTCATCTTTTTGGATTCTTACATCTGTGGGCCCTTCCATTGGAAAACAGGGTACTGTAATCTGGAATCTGCTTAATTAGAGTTAGCTATTCCAGTGACTTAGTAAGCTGGAGGGGAGGGGAGTAATATTAGCTATATGAAAGTAAGCCCTCACTCGACCTTCTCTTAGAGACAAGACCAGCACCTCTTACAAGCATGGTTTTCCTTGGCTTGTGGGATGGCTGTTGGTAGCCCTTCTGTGCCAGGCCTTCAACATAGCTTTCAACAGGCCTGGCTCTCTCGAAACCTTAGCAAAATACAGCTAGTTCACACTCAGGCAGACCTCAAACCGAAACTCTCTCAGTTAACAAATGATGTTTTGCCAAAATGCTTCACTGAGTCCTGGCTCTAGGAGACTGTGTGATGTGGGATTGCCATAGCTCAAGAAGTAAACCAATGGCCCCTTCCATTGCCACAGGATCACGTTCCAGTGCGATTCTCAAGAACAGCTTTCATCACATCCTACGCTAGGCTTCCTTGTTGCAGAATTCCTGTTGGTTTTTTAAAAATTATATTTGTTTGCATGTCCATTGGCTGCCCAAAATGCATTCTTTATGGATTTTCCTATCACTGCTTGGGTTGCATGGAGAGTTACATACTACAGAAGCGTGGCATCGATGAAAGTAACAATCAAAGAGAGACAGTATGTTTTCCCCCCTTCCCATAAATCTGATTTGTAAATGCAAAGAATGTGAGGCATGAACATAAGAAATTTAAAAATTGTATCTAAAACTTAAAAAAGAAAAATTGGCAAATAATAGGATGAGACTTTAAGCAATCTAGTCTCAAGAAGGAAAACTTTTCCTATAAAGACATTTCTGAACCCCCATCTAAAATATAATATCTTTGGGGCAGTAATCATCAGAAACATAACAGAGTCCTGTGGAACTCAGTTTTATTGTCTTGCATCAGTGAACATTCCTCAAAAGCATAGAGTGTCACTAATGGAATTATATGTTTTCATGCTATAATTACATTTGATTTTTCCTGATATTTCTGTAGGCTTTTTGTTCATGGTCCCATGACTAGACAGAATATTTACAAGTTTTTTTGTGTCATTAGCCTATTCAGTCCTTACACCCATCCCCCTCATAATAAAAGAGACTAGAAATAGGACTTTTTAACAGAAAAAAGACAATTTTTTGTAAATTTTTACCTTCAGAGGTTACCTGTCAACATCAGCAATAAAACACAAACAACAAAAAGAAATAAGAAGAATTTTATAGTTGAAGGAAATAGAGCAAGAGATCACTGAGTTTTGAAACTCTTTGAGACACAAAATGGGCACTTGATATTTTTGATCTTGATCTTGAATGAATACTTGTTGGATGAAACGGAATTTATTTGATCTTGCTTCCCTGGTAGCTCAGCTGGTAAAGAATCTGCCTGCAGTGTGGGAGACCTGGGTTTGATCCCTGGGTTGGGAAGATCCCCTGGAGAAGGGAAAGGCTACCCATTCCAGTATTCTGGCCTGGAGAATTCCATGGACTGTACAGTCCATGGAGTCACAGAGTCGGACACGACTGGGCGACTTTCACTGTCACTTTGGGTGTGTCGGTGTGTGGAGCACTTGGGTGCTCCAAATGATCCTGCCCCTGGAAGAAAGATGAATTTAGCAGTAGAGTAATACTGACCGGAGGACACAGTACCATCAAGTATGCCATCAAGTATGTGAACAATGAATCTCTGTTTTTGAGAAGAGAGAATGTCTAGCTATGAAATCCACAGAAATCTCCAAGAAAGAGACAAAAGCAGTTATAATAATATGTTGACACCCAACATGATTGTCTTCTCTTTGTCTTCTCCCACATCAAGTCTTAGCTTTGCTCAACATCTCAGTGACCTCTTTCCTTCTAAGCACTCAATTCCTGTTCTGTAGGTTTTCATCACTACAGAATAGGAGAATGACACTTCAAATATGTGTACACTCTAAGGTTTCCCCCCCACCCCGAAGCATATTAGAAGTAAAGGGAAAAGAATGATTCTTGGTGTATAGGTGTGGAATGAAGAGAGTCTTCTGCTTGCTAAGTAGAGTAAGTTTGGGAGTCTGTATGAACAATGCTTGTCCTGACCTGGGTTGTATATTCTTATCATAAAATACACTGAAGTTAGCATTATATTTCCCCAAGTTTAAATACGTTTCTTGAAATGCCATTTATTAGATCATTGAAAACACAAGTGTGGTTCTCTGTCCTCAGATCCCTACAATCTGGCTCCTAGCCCAGCCACTCAACCCAAATCAGCCTCCAAGGTCTTCCAAAATAACTTCTCAGCCAAAACCAATAGTATCCTCTAGACTTGTCAGCTGCATCTGAAACCTACGAACACCCATTCTGGTCTCAGATTCTGAAGATTCCAGGCTTTCTATTTTCTCATCTCCAGAGTCACTTCCAGAGCAGTCCTCCTTTAGAGATCATTCCAACTTTGAAATTTTAAACACAAGGTTTGTGCATGAATTATTGCCCTAGCTCCAGCCCTAAACTCTCCTTACTTTTTAAAATAAAGTTTTACACCTCTGTGCCAGGCTTTCAACTGTAATTAATTGTGGTAAAGTACCAACTCTGGTTTTCATTGTCAGCACCTTGCTGCTGTACAATCTCTTGGTTTCTGTAAACAAAAATTAAGTCACTTTGACTTTTTGCTAATCTCCTTACTTTCATTAAACTTCTAGATGTATGTATTTTATTTTTATACATTTATATATTACATTTGCTGTATTAATGTTTCTTAGTCATCCTCCACCCTCCCCTCTTCATCCCTAGTCAAATGCAGGTGAGATCATACTTTATAAAGATTCAGATAAATATTGTCTGTTGATCAAAATGCAATTAGTAATGAAGGTGTGGTCCCATCAATCTCTACCAGCTTTTCCTATCCCACTCCAGACAGCACTGCCTGCTCAGGTCCTACAAACATCCAATAAATCTACCTTTCTCTCTCTTTTCCACTTCTTGGTTGTCATTCTTAAAAGGATGTCCTTTACTCTTTTTAACAGATCCACTCCATTCTTCAGTGGAGAATTACCTTTCTCCAAAGGACTTTCTGTGGAGTATTAGTAAACTCCTATAGACCAGCTTGCTTCCTTCCTCCTCTTCTCATGAATATATTGCTTTATGTGAAAGCATATCTAAGTCATCTTTCTGTGCATATCAATTTCTGTAAATTCACAGATATATCAGTATGTCTAGCATATTTTAGATAACACTTTAGAAAGGCACCTTTTCTGTTAATCAGGAAAATCTTTTGCATTCTTAGATTAAAAATTCCTACAGTCTCCCCATCCCCACAACCATGTGCACTTAAGATAATTTTCAGTAACCACAGTTATTATTAAAAATTACTTCACACTATGTGCATTTCCTTTTCAGGATCCCCCCATGGCTGTAACCCTTGGACTTCGAATGGAGGAAATGATTTTTAATCTTGCTGATACACACTTATTTTTTAATGATTTAGAGGTAAGAATTTTAAAAGATAAGAACAGTTGTATCCAACTATTAAAACTCATATCTTTTCTAGATATATGCAGATAACCTCGAAAAAAACTTGGAAAGATAGAAATATAGCTCAAGAGAAAAATAAAGTTTCTGTCAAGGGAGACATTGTGCAAAATAAACAAAAGCTAAATTGTGTTCATGAAAGATATATATTTACTGGCTTATACTGAGAAGAGAAATGTCTTCAAAAAGGAAGTGTTGCCTTGCTGTCCCATACAGTACACCCCTATCTGCTGCTGGTCCTTTTAGTGTCTCAGCCACAATTCATTTTATCTTTGGAATCAGCATTAGCTTTTCCAGGTTATTAACCAGGATGCAATTTAGGTTAATGACTGCACAATAGTCACAGATCCTGGTCCTAGTGCTATCATGGATCATTAAATTTTATAGATAATCTGAAACCTAATTCTAGCCATTAGCATTCCCTATTTATTCCTCTTCTGGATAAAACCTTGAGAGACCTATTTGTATAGTACTTCTGACTGGTTTGATTGCATTTATTTTCTCTTCCTAATTTATCTTTTCATTTCCAACCTTAAATGAAGAGAAAGTAAAAGCAGTAACAACAAACTGAAAGAACCCAAGAAAAATAGCCTCAGGATAGCCAAATAAGTACTGTAATAAGGTATATAATCTGAGTGCTAATGGTCTGAGTCATTAGATATTTAGATGATGAAATTTGAAATAACGGACTAGCATGGGCACTGGGAAGAGATTCACACAACTATACTGAAACAGACTTTTTTTTCTCTTTTTAAAATGATCCATTCAAATTGATTTTTTATCTCCTGGTTTCACAGTGCAATTAAAGTGTTTATCTATAATCACAATATGAATGAAGATGGAGATTATTATTACTGAATCTGCACCTTGTGTTTGACATTTCCACTAATTAGTTACCAACCTTTTGTAATAAATATGTTTATCATATAATTTTTGTAGACAAGATACTGTAAGGTCCATCAACATAAAACTTGCATCTAAGTTTACCTGCTAAGTGGTAGAATTGGGATTTGAAACTTTGGAATCTACTGGGCTCCAAAACACGTACTCAGCCCCCATACCATGCTGAAATTAACAGATAGCTGAGAGGAAGATAAGCCAAGTTAGTCAGTGTCTTAAATAATTTTTTTTTTAATTGACAAGGTCTTAAACCCAGTTTTAAGGCATCTCAAGTAAAAGATATGTTGTTCAGCATATCCCATAAATGTATGGGCTGGAAATATGTGTAATAACATTTTCTTTCTTATTTTTTCTTCATTGAGTCACTGTTTTTACTGGATAATAAAAGTTTAAATTCTGTTTAGAGAGGTTTTATTGTTTTCTTTAATAGACAGTATGAAAGATCAGTGTTCTTGGGCAAGTCTTCCAGTTTTAGATAATAAGAAATAATAATCACCTCTCTAAAACCTGATATAAATTAACCTTGCTACTTATTTCTGTCTAGTATACAGAATAATTTTATATATACAGGATAATAGAAAACACACTTTAACCTTTTAGGAACCTGAATTTTGTATACATATATGGTGATAACATATAACTTGCTGGCATTTCTGTTGGGTAAAATGGATGAGTCTCATTCTGAAAAAGAATTCTTAAAATTATTATTCCTCTCAAATCTATGAAACACACACACAAAAGAGAAGTTTAATGTGATTTTACCCAAGTTTATAGCTTTATTTCATTTCAATTATTATTTTTTACTAGATGTAAATGGAATCAATGACCCTTTAGGGTTTTTAGTGGTACTTTTGAAACCAGATGGAATAAATTTACTACCCAACTTCTAATAGAACACTAAAGTGAGAATTTGAAAGTAGTGTATGATGAATTTAAATATACCTTTAGCAGGTTTGACATGAATATTGGCATATCAGAAATATGTGGTTGGCTCTTGTGCTTTAAGAATTTTTATTTTGGATTAGATACTGTATAAACTATATCTTTAAAACATTCGGCAGGATCTCTGGTAGAAATAGTAAATGAGAAAATACTGGTATTGACTTTCTCTTCTCTGATTATAACTTTTTAGTTATGCTTTAGAATGTGATAAAAATTCCATTCAACTCAACCACTAAAACTTAATATCCAACAATAACTTACTGAATCAAAGAAATGATTTCGTCTCTGCATGTGAATTGACTGAGTTCTCAGACAGGAAACACACACACGTGCGCACACATCCAGGTGGCCCAGGGAAACTACAGGCTTACACTAACCTAATTGAGATAAACAAATACTGAAACTGACAAAATCTATAGCTTTCAAAATCATTCGGTCCAGTTACATATATGCCCACTATCCTTCTGCATCTGATTTTGAAACTTTACTTTCTCCCAAGTTTTTATTTCAGTAAACCTCTTACAAGCAAACCTTGACATGAGCTTCATGACTGGTATTACTATGTCTGCTTCTACTGACATAGAGTATGTTAAAGAGAATTAAAGAGAATGCCTTAAGAGAATAACTCCATGTTTTGCTTATGTTTTTCCCCGCCTTGGACATTTAATCTCTGGGGATTCCTTTTTTTTAACCTAAAAATCTATGTGAGACAAACCCTTCAATAGAAACTGCAACATGTATAGTAGCAGATGCTCTCACAGAATTCCTTGAAAGATGCAAATTTAAATCCTCTTAATAGAAACTTCACTACATCTTTTCTAACTGTAGAGAAGGCAGATGTTCACTCTGCTGCCCATAAGAAGTGGATGCTGTCCATTTAAATATGCTATTTCAGTTAAAATAGCTTCCAGAAGAGAAGGCACCAAGTTTGGGCTCACAAAAGTGAGAGAAGACCTCTATGGATTATAACTGATAAAGATCAGTGACAACTTTGCAGTCACCTTCTAAGACCTTCTAAAATTAAAAAATTTAAGATTAGTGCCAGAATTATTCCAGATGTTCGCATTCTTACACTAAAGTTTGTTAAAGTCAAAGCATGAAACTCTTTTTAGTATTTTAGGTTTTAGTCAAAATAATTCTTGTAAAATTCCTCTGAGTGAATGCTAATTGAAGAACAATTATTTCGATTTTTCTAAAAATGTAAGTGATTGAAGTTCAGGTTTCTTTCACTGGACTGTAATCCTCAGGCACGGATCCAGAGTCAACAAGCATAGTTAACTAGGCATAAATTTAAAGAAAAGTTCCATTTGGAAAAACCTCAAACATAACTTCAAATATGGAACTCACGGTCCAATAAGTTTGATATACTGATGTCCTCAAGAGTAAAAAATAAATTTGAGGGCAAAATGTACAAATTAATCATGTGAGTTAATACTTGAAGTGTCAGAGGAATTTCTCTAAAAATTAGATGAGAGAGTATTAGATAAAGAAATGACTTACAGTTGCCAATGTAATTCATAAGAACCCCAATTTTTAATATCATTAGCTTATGGTAAAATTGTGGAAATTGTTTACATGATGGAAGATTTCAGAACCTCAGTGGAATGAGCAACTTTGCCTGATCCCATTTCAATGGTGGTTTAATTTGGTCTTCGTACTTAACAGGAATGTAACCAACTCAAGAAATAATTCTTGTCATCTAGAACTGCTTTGCTCCCTCAGTATTCTGCAAGAACTTTTATTTCCAACTTTTATACTTCCTGGTTACACCTCACCCTTTCCTTTAAAGCCCAATCTAACAGCTATTATGGTTGGTGTGACGCTTTTCCCTGAGAATTTTCTGGAAACCTGAAGCCTTCTTCGGTTAAAGTTTGAGCTGTGCTCTTTTCAACAAATAGTCAAAATGGGAAAGAACCTTTTTAAAATGCCTGTCCTGCAGCCTCAGCCCACACTCTGTTCTTTTGCCGTTTCCTTCACTCTTGATATATCTTCTTCCAGCCCTTACCATCTAGAATATTTTACATCACCATAAACTTATGTTAGAACATTTAAATGATTGTGGTAATTCTGTCTTGAATTACATTTGTCTAGACATCTGCTATTTAGTCAACAAAGAATTGAGTGATTGCATTGTGCCAGATTGTGCTTTAAATGTGGGTTTATCCAGGTGACCCAAACAGCCCCCTCAGGGAGCTTCCAGTCAGATTAACTTTTGAGGTCCTCCCTTATCTGTGAATGTACTTATTAAAAAGTTACTGAACCCATAATTTATGTTCCTCATGTGAATCTTTAAGATTAATTTACCTGGATTTTCAAATTATGTACTAAAATTGTATGGATTGAGGTACTCACTAAGTTTCATATTTTGAAAGAAGCCTGAGCCAGCCAATTTATCCTCACACTGCAACAGGATCTAATATACTCCGTGTAGAAAGCTGGAGGTGAGATATTAAATGTTTCACTGTCAGATACTTCCAAGTCCTATAATAATTATAAATAGTAGCTGAAAAGTCTTTAGTATGGCATCTTATCTTCAAATGTAATGATTTTTTAGAATTAATTTTGAAAGATAAGCACTTAATATATATAGTCAGACTCTGTGAGTTTGACTGGAATAATTTGATGGGGAAAAAAATGAGGTCCGGAAGACTAAACCATACTTATTCTGAAAGGGAAAAGTGAAAGTGAAGTCGTTCAGTCATGTCCGACTCTTTGCGACCCCTTGGACTGTAGCCTTCCAGCCTCCTCTGTCCATGGGATTTTCCAGGCAAGAATAGTGGAGTGGGTTGCTGTTTCCTTCTCCAGAGGATCTTCCCAACCCAGGATCGAACCCAGGTCTCCAGCACTGCAGGCAGACTCTTTACCGTCTGAACCACCAGCAAAGTGTTAATAGATTCTCGGTGTTGAAATGCCTTAGCCAGATTCCACCTTTATATCATGTACTACTACACTGGAGCTTTGCAGATTATTTGAAGATAAGAAAGGAGTATTAGAACAGCAAAGAAAACTTGAATTTTTTTTTTTCAAAAAGTTGCCATGAGTATGCTATAACAGGTCAATTATGTGGATGTATATACCTAAAGTCTGTTTTCCTCTGAATTTGTAGCACATTAGAGATGGTGTTATTTCTCTTTTACTTGCAGTATTCTTTTCAGCCTAGGTTTAAAAACAAGCTATAAAAAGAAAAAAAAAATCCGCCAGCTTCTATGGTTACTAGCTTTTTGCTGTATTGAAAGACCAGGACTTTTAAAATAACATCACCATGGTTCTCTCGTGCTATCACTCACCCAGCAAAAAAGCAGGAATTCATAGAAATCTCACCGAGCACCGTAATCATCAAACCCCCCTGTTGCTGCTCAACAAACAATGCCTAATAGTAACCACTGGGGTGAGTGTTAGTCACGCAGGCGTGTCTGACTGTTTTCAGTCCCATAGACTGCAGCCCACCAGGCTCCTCTGTTCATAGGATTTTCCAGGCAAGGATACTGGAGTGGTTTGCCATTTCTTTCTCCAGTGGATCTTCCAGATCCAGGGATCAAACCCGGGTCTTCTGCACTGCAGGCAGATTCTTTACTGACTGAGCTACCAGGGAACACCACTGGGGTGTTCAGCCCAAATAAGTTTTGAGTATCTTCAGGTTAGCTTTGCTTTCATATTTATGTGTGCATAACAGAAATGACTGGAAGTGATCTCCAGTGATTATCTTTGGGGTAGCAAAGAGTTGGACATGACTGAGGATTAACATAACATAATGGTGATTGTAAAGATTCTAAAGAAAATTCCTTATCTGTCATTTTAAGATTAAAATTAAGTTTTTATTTGTTCTAAAGAAACCCATATGCCCTGCGTCTTCAGGCTTTAAAGGCCCTTGTCTGGGGTTAGATCTTAGAGGCTGGGAATGGTGCCATTTCCCAGCACGACAGGGCGGGGTGGGTGGGCAAATGCTGCCCTCTTCTGGCCATAGCCTGATCAAGCGGAGAGACGGAAAAAGCTTGAAACATGGTGACTAGCCTCCTTTGAAAAACAGCTCTTCCAATGTTTTCAACAGGAGTGTGATCAAGTTCACATAGATGATGTTTCCTCCGATGACAATGGGCAGGACTTGAGGTAAGCCACGCCTTTCAGTATGCTCTTTCCTACAGAAATTCAGCTGTGAAGTTTTGCACGTGTAATTATTTCTTTTATTTCTTTTTAATGTATTTTGGGTGTTGCAGTACCTACAGTTTTGCAACTGATGGCTTCCATGCAGCTGCAAGTAGTGCAAACCTTTGTTTGCCAACAGGTGTAAGAGGAGGGGTTGACTGGATGAGGAAGTTGGCTTTTCGTTACAGAAGAGTAAAAGAATTATACAACACCTACAAGAACAACGTGGGAGGTACGTGTGGCTTTTAACATTTCATAAAGGCACTGCAGATAGAGGTACAGTTTGAACTGCAGTTTCAAGTTTTGTATTAAGGATGATCCTTCTGTGAAATAAATTACCAAAGACTCATGATGGGTGAGAGCAAGCCTGAATTTTTAGTTTCTTGGAGTTGGTGGGAAAAAAATCTAACTGCACAATGAAGTGGACAGCACTGTCAGATGACTTGGGATTTCTTTGTGCCCCGATGTTTGGTCAAGATTAATAGCAGGACATTTGTTTGGCCCTTCTTCAGCTGGGACACTCCCAGTGAAAACCAGACAGAGGAACTGGTGGAGGCTATGGAAAGACGACCTATCTAAAGACAAGAGCCCCAGTCATTGAAACAGAGTTGTTAGCCAGTCATTACCTTTCTGGAATCCTATCAGAAATAAACACAAGCAGTTCTTTATGTTGTTCCAAAGACATCGACTAAATTTATCCTTTCAAAAATTGCATATTATCTGTCAATATATCTTTGCCATATATATCATGGTTTTTAAGAGTTTAAATGTTCTGTGGGTAGTAACTAAACCATTTTATACTCATTCATAAATTACAGGTAATATCAAAACCTGTGATATCAAAACTAAGATCCTGGATGTGCTTCTTGGTATAATAAACCTTAATGATCTCTATTATTAGGATCAGCTTTAGGTCACCAAAATCTTAGGGTGGGCAAATCCTAGGGATTAGTTATGAGGTCATTTAAGGTTCTTCTTCTAGGGCTTTTTGTTTGTTTCACTTTTTAAACAAAACGAGAGATGATTGAGGAGTATAAAACAGAATCTAAAATTGAAGAAGACAGTTAAATATATTTGTGACTGCTCTACATGTGTATGTTCACATATATGTCATAGAATACAATATAATAAATAAAATTTTCATCTGTAGTGTATATTACACCATACAGGTCATGAGGGTGGGCTGTGTATCTGTTGCCCTTGTATCCAGCACCTTGCTAGCTTGAAGCACATAATAGATGCTCAGTAGACATTCTGTAACTTCAGGAGAACAAAAACATGTAAAACCGTGGGTAATAATAATGTTAAAACAAAAATGAAGCTTAAATATGGGTGTTCTTCATTTCCAAGTGAGAAACAGGCTATTGCATTCTACTGCCTTGGCCAGCGATTTAGGCAGACAACTCAGAAACGCAGGTTTCCTAATTCACTCTAACATTCTATGCAAGACATTTTTTGCAAAACCAAATAAATAGATATACTGTTTAAAAGGAATTGAGAGTAATAAGTTCAACTTTAAAATAAATATCCCTTTGGGAAATCTGAATTAACTTTTCTCATTAAAGCATGTCATTATTTCCCTCTTAAAGGGTATTATTCAGTTCAGTCGCTCAGTCATGTCCGACTCTTTGTGACCTCATGAACCACAACACGCCAGGCCTCCCTGTCCATCACCAACTCCTGGAGTTTACCCAAACTCATTGAGTTTACCCAAATCCATTGAGTCGGTGATGCCATCCAACCATCTCGTCCTCTGTCGTCCCCTCCTCTTCCTGCCCTCAATCTTTATTATTATTAAAATTATATAAAAATTAACAAGCTTGCTAGTAAATAATCTTATAGCTGAAGAAGTTTAAACAATGAGATATGAGTCCATTTTGTGATATGTTAGCATCTCTTTATTGGAATAAAGACAAATGAGATTTGGTAGAAACTAGAAATTTTGATTTTAAAAATATCCACCTTAATATCCACCTATATATATGTACTCAGTATTCTGAAATAGGATTTAAATAAGAAACTCTATTATTTAGTCAATTTACATGTTCTTGTTTTATCATGAAAGCAAGAGCTCTCTCTATAAAATTAGTATAACTACTTCTTTTCTTGTCCTAATACCATTGTAACGTTCAGCCATCAACTGTAGCTCTGTCACAGGCTTTAGGATTTTCAAGTTCTCAACTCCTTTTTACAAAGCAAAGTATTTCTATTAGCTTCAGCATTAATATTAGAAACAAATTCTAAAATTCTAAAGCTACATGTGGTAATGTCATCATTATTTCAAAGTGGTAACAGCTGTGATTTTTAAGAAAGTGAACATTTTCTGACAGTCACAGTCTTTGGGATTCACATCTCTAGGCTGGTAGACCCTTACTTCCCCCGCTAGACCTATTCTGTCGGTCTACTGGAGTGGGACCCGGCAGGGGAGTTGTCAGGGGCCCTCCCGTGACTGGCGTCGTCCGTGCCAGATTCTAGGATCAGCGAAGGCCGAGACTATGACCCTCCCTCCCCTGTTATATCCCTAGTTTTTAACCCAGACTGTTACATGTAGAAGTTGTTGTTTGTGGACTGAATGAATGGATAATCAATTCTGACATGAAAGATCAGAGTTGATATGTCTCTATTTTTGATATAGGTGGGAATAAAAATTATCCATAGAAGTCAGAAGGGAGACCAGGTGAGGCATCCCTGCAAAACGTTGATCTCTTGACTCTGCCCTGCTTTTCCGTGTTGCAGGACTTCTTGGCCCCGCCAAGAGAGATGCATGGCTGCAACTGAGGGCTGAGATCGAAGGTCTGACAGACTCCTGGCTAACAAATGCACTTAAATCTCTATCAATTATTAGTACGAGGTAAGCCGCATTGTTGCAGTTTCTGTATTATTGTATTGAAGATGTCCTTCTAGTAGTCTAGCTTGTATCAAAATGTTTTAATTCGCAGACTTATTTTAGAGGTTGAAGGGACCTAACACTTCTGTCTGTGTGTGTGTGTGGTGGGATGGGGTATGGAGAATGGAGGTTGCTGCTTTTTATCCATTCCTCCTCATAACCCTTGATAAATCCCATGGGAATGTCATTTGACTTCCAAATTTTTTTAGAAACACTCTGTTGGTGGCAAAATACAGAAGATGGTGGCAAAAATACACATTGTTAATATAATCTGTGCATGTTTTTAAGTCTTTTAGGCCATTATAGATAATGTACATAATTCGAATACATCCAAAAAAGCAACAGAAATCTCCTAAATAACTTGTAACCTTTGTGTTGTTTGAACAGAACAGTGAAATGCTGACTTTTGTTAGTGTAGATAGTAGAATTGAGTAGACATAATGAGTTGCAGAGCCTATGCCATAAATACTAATGAATAAAATAATATAAATCTGGAACATGATAGCTAAATAGGGTGGGGAAGAATCTTTGTTCTGTCCTATTCTTTAGTTTTATTTCTGAATTGGAGGAATAAATAAAATTATGCTTAGCAAATGTGTAGAGGAATAAAGAAAATTATGCTTAGCAAGTGTGCTTGGCAAAACAAAATTGAGAGAAGAGCTAATATTTGGACTGGTTGAGTTAAGATTCAGAGAAACCTTAACAAAGTGAAAGGAGAGTCTAGCATTCAGAACACAGACGTGGACAGATGTGCCCCCAGCCCTGCTCGAGAAGTTGAGCCGTGTGCCATGACCAGCCCCTGCATTGAGAGCAGGGAGGCTAAGTGGAAAGGGAGGGGCAGTAGATTTCCTGGGTCAGGCTGGAAGCAGAACTGAGAACATTTGCTCAGTTCGGGGCACCTCATTCCAACGGGGACTGTGGCATATCTGAAGCACCTTGTGTCCAACAAAGTGGCCAGAAGTGTTTAGGCTGTGGAAACTACATACAAGGAACAGTCAGAGGGAGAGACCAAGGAGTTTCGTCTGAAGAAGAGTCATGAGTGGGACAAGGTGACCAATGTCAACTGCTTGAGATGTGGAGCGGGAAACAAGTTACATTTCTCTCTGCATCTATGAAGGAGAGAGTTGGTCCCAGTGAGGAGGAATCCTAGGAAGGGAGCTTCTGGCTCCATGGAGGAAGAATTGTCTAACAATTAAAGCTGTTTTAAGATGGGATTTGCTGCCTTGTGATCTCTGGGACGGTGACCTGGAAACCAAAGGTTAAGGATGCTGGGATGTGAGGACTGCAGCCTGAAATCCTGTGTAAAATGCAGTAGAATGTGCTTTCATTGTTTTTAAAGAAGTCTCCTAGATAGTTAAAAACAAAGGTTATTACGCTGTTGTTTAGGTTATCTCTGTGTTATCCAAAGTATATATAAATTATTTTTAAATACATGGGTATATTATATAAATAAATGTATGCATATGAAACATAAATGTATGTAAGTAAATAAATAAATGAATAACAAGGAAAGGAAGGGGAAAAAGAAGTCATCATGCAATGAGGGTTTTGAAATTTGTCATGAAATGTGTCACATAATCCACATCCTCACCTTATTGGTAAATTTCACAACATATATCAGAAAAGCAGATGTTGATGCCAGTCGTTGCTGAATTATGTATCAGAGCAAAGGCGTGCATATTTCCCTTCATTGCATTTTGGGATCTATTCCCAGATCTGGCATCGTGCCCACTAGGTGCTAGGCACCATGAACAACCGTTGAACATTGAAAGGTTGGGTTATCAGGGGGTGTTTATTATGGAGTTGAAAGATTGCAGTGATAATTTAAAATCTGCACTCGTAGAAGTTATTATTAGAAAACAAATATGCCAATTTCCTCCCCATCTTAGGAGTAACTGCGTAAATGTCTTGGTAACAACAACCCAGCTGATCCCAGCGCTGGCGAAGGTTCTGCTCTATAGTTTAGGAAGTGCTTTTCCCATTGAGAATATTTACAGTGCAACTAAAATAGGTAAGAGAGTTATTTCTAACTGTGTGAAGTATGTTCAGATCTGTGTTTGGGAGATTTTCTTAATGTGTGTCTTCGCATGATTCCCTCTTTCATCCATTTTGCTATTAGAATATCAAACAAATTTGCTAGAGCTCAAATAACAAAGTTCTCTGCAACTGTTTAAGCATGTGTAAATTTTATGAAAGCTGTTGCCTATGAAATTCTGAACTCTGTATCTGACTCTTTATATATACATTTATATTATTTATTTGTATTCATTATGGCACACGTTATTTAAATAATATATAGTATCTTTAGCCATAGAGTTTAATATTTTAATAAATATGATATGTGGTATTATATCCTTGCATATTCAGTAATCTAGATCTAAGATAAAAATACCATTTTAGCATTATATGGGAGTATCAGATGAATTAAACTAGTATCCTTAATTCAAGAGAGAAAAAGTTTCATGAATCAGAAAACACATTTGGAACATTCGCGGCATGTGAATGGCTGAAAATACACATTTCCCAAAACATTAGGTAGCAATCAAAGAACTACCACCTTGTTTATTTAGATCACAGCTATCTATGGAGCCATCTTTGACTTTAAGTGCCTTTCACAGGCGCTGAGACTTCTAATAAACTTTCAGAAACAAAACCTCATCAACTTTTGCCATCTTGAAAGAGTTAAAAGAAAACAACTCATGTATTCTGTTGTCTGTCAAGGAAATGCCTGGGGAAATAGATGGGTTGTATAATGTGCCTTGAAGGTCAACAAACTTGAGCTTTGGCAGCTTGACAAGAGTTCAGAATCCTAAAATCCCTAACCAAAAATAACCTCCCTGGGCCTTGCACAGTTCTGATATTGGCACAGGCAGAAAGAGCCCCCAGCTGCAGCTGTCTGGGGAGTATAGTTAAAGAGGGCCAAGCTTTCATAAATTCCTGGGTGTCCTGAGCATTACAATTCAGAGCCCTGATACAAATCCCATTCACTTTTTTGTTGTTTGTTTGTTTTTTAACACTTATCTTAATCCAATCATTTTTCTCTTTTTAATTTTTTAAATTATGAAAACATTTACAGGAGACTTGGAAAATACAAAACAAAGTTACATATGTTAATAGTCCCACTATATATTATAACTTTTTAAGTAGATGAATTAAGATTTTTTAGTTGGAGTTTCAATATAAAACTCTCAAAAATTGATAGCATGAATATACAGACAAGTAGAAGGATATAGTAGACCTGAGAAGTACCATGAGCCAGTTCAACATAATTAAGATTTATACAATTTTTCATATAATAATAGGATACAAATTCTATTCAAGTTCCCATAGACTATAAACTCAGAGACACTGGAACATATCCAAGGACATAAAACAAGTTGCAAAAATTTCACGGTCTAAGGGTATTGAAATCATACACCATTCATTTTTATATAAATGTGTATATTTATGTTAGCAGGATTACTACATGGAACCTGATTTTGCTTTTTGACACATTAGTTTTACACAGATGTAAACATCTCCTCTAGTAAGGTCAACAGTCTTTCTTATTAAATAAGACTAAGTTGTTCCTTATATTTAATAGGAAAAAAAAATTTTATTTTTCCCTTTTAGTCAATATATTGATTTTGGAGTTCTGAACTATCAGAGTAAGAAAAAAATGCAGAGGTAGCCATGACTGCATGAACATACTGAGAAAGAAATTCAAAACATAATGCTAGTGTTTTAAAAACAAAGAACATGTAGAAATTCGTGATGTTACTCCCATAGTGCAGTCAGAGGATGTCAGTGTCCCCAGGACTGTGGCCCAGACAGCACCCTTAGTACAATTAATCTGAGCAAACTAGGTTCCAGCCACTTGAAGAAAGGAGTTGTTTTATCAAGGTAAACCCATATCTTAGTATTTCCTCTTTCATTCTAGGTGAACTTTCAATATTTCACAGTAATATTTTTAGCTGATTTGTCTATACTATTGAAGACAAACTAGATAAAATTGATATATAGTTATACAAATAAATGTAAAAATGAATAGTTGCTTGTAAAGCTGTTCCTGTATTCTTCAGGTAGAACGAGAGATACAAACATGTTTCTTTGGGTCAGATGCTTAACCTTTCTGACATTTTTTGAAGTGTGGGACACATTTGTTTAATAATCAGTCTCAAGTAAAAATTTAGAATATTCAACCATATTTGTTGATTTCATAACCCAGAGTTTGCAAGCTAGTTTAAGTGATATATGTTCAAGAGAAAGTAATTTGACACTTTATGAATCTTTAAGTTAATGATTCCGATGGCTGGAAGAATAAGCAGTGCATTGTTTTTCAGGCAAGGAAAGCTGTTTTGAGCGTATAGTGTCCAGATTTGGCACTAACATAACTTATGTTGTGATTGGAGATGGCCGAGATGAGGAGCATGCCGCTAACCAGGTAACTTCACTCTGAACTTTATCTTGTTTATCTTCCAGGAAAAGAAAGTTGCTTTGAACGAATAATGCAAAGGTTTGGCAGAAAAGTAGTATATGTTGTAATTGGGGATGGTGTAGAAGAAGAACAGGCAGCAAAAAAGGTAACCTGTTTCAAACAATGTTGGTGTGATACTTCTAATGCAAGCTTTTTTGTTTGCATTCCTGTAGCTTGGCCCAATGGCAGCTTGACAAATGATTTAAATTTATAGATGCAAAGCAGTAAGAGCATGAGAAGGTCAATACTTACATTCAAATAAACCATTTGGAGTCTAGCATTTTTTTTTTTTTTTGCCTGAAACTTCACAGGAAATGTAGGAACATTTAGTTATATTTATCTGTGTGTATGCTTATGTGTGTGTGTGTGTAATACACACAGATATAAGAAAGATGGGGCCAAAATAACCATTTTGAGCACATGAAATTCAACAAGATTAAAGATGCTTAACAAGCTCCATAGAAATCCATGTGAGTGGCTCAGTTCTTGCCCTTTGCCCATCCAGCCTCTGTGCCGTATGGAGCTGTGAGTACCGCGTCGCAGTTGTACCCCGTGATGATAAATGCTGATGATAGCTTTAATAGCTGAAGAAAAAACTCTTGCCAGAGAATTTAATAAATACTGTTGGAATGGGATATAGTATTCAAATCCTTTGGTGCCAACTTACTGTTGAGACTTAAAGGCAATGTACCTTTCATGTACATCTTCTAGAAGAGTATTACCTTTCTGGTAAGTCCTTGGTACTTTCATTAAGTCAAGCAGCTGGCTTTGAATATATTCAGAAGACCTCATAGACACTAGGTATTTAAATCAGCCTTTTCATCTGGCCCATATTTCTAGAGAATCAGGGAAGTTAAAAAACCTTAATGTTGGTCCAACATCGACCATATCATTGGCTTGGCCCCAGATACCAGACAGTAAGTTAACCCAACATTGAGATCTACTGCTTTCTTCACTGATTGATGGCAAAATGTCATCTAGAGAGGATTAAAGTGATGTAATTTATAAAACAGAGCAAAATGATGAATAAGTATTGTTAAACAATGACATATCAGCATATATTGTTTTCCATAGGGAAAAATATTATCCTTATTCTCCTGAAGAGATTTCATAGCATCATCTTAAAAAACCTTAACTGGACACTTGCATGTGCTTGAGTGTTTATCTGATTTCTGTCCCCCACCACCCACACCCCCGCCCCTCCCCCAAAAACCTAATATGAACAGTATCCTAGAAAAGTTTATAGTGATATTCGAAAGTTAAAAGAAATGATTTATGATTGTAATCAATTCAAATCAAGCAAAATGGAGACAAAAGAAAGAGCTTCCACTTTAGGAGGTTTGGTGACACTCTGGAAACCATACTTGAAATACTCCATGATTTCCCATAACATGAAGAAAGTTGTTTTAGTCTCAGCCTCCCACAGAGTCCCTCCCCTCCTCGGTCCTAATTAGTGGTGTCAGTGACCCAAGACAACACACTGGCCCCAAGGACGTTCTATATGAGGTCAGGGATGCAGCCTCAAGAAATACAATTTCCCAGCTGACGACCGCTTGAAATCCTTTGGGTCACACACAGTTGAAATATCTTCTGGAGTTTGTCAGTGCCCTGAGTCCCTGTTGTTTTAATTTTTCATATTAACACCGTCATTACACCTAACAAAGAACAGCCAACGCAGGCACCATGGCAAGCATTTTACATATCTTTTAACCTATGTGAAATTCACATATATCTAGGTCAGGGCTGATAAAATTCACTTTTCCAAAATAGTATATGCCTTTGAAAATTAAAACTTATAAAGTCTACCCCACTTATACATAGCATGAAAACTAGACTTGGTATACCAGTTGTTACACCTTCAGCTTTAAACCTACAACTTCAGGGGGAAAAGGCATGACTCCAATGGATAAGAACCTTGGTTAGAATGCTATTTCCAAATGGTTGTGTATGTCGGTACAGTTTTGGTGATGGTGAAGGCTTATAATTCTGTTTTGAAACACAGGTGGCTGGTTTCTCTAGTATCCAGAATGCATGCTTTTCTTGGGATGTAGCTGTAATCGCATGTGCAAAATTATAAAGTACTATTTTGTTACTACAAATATATCTGAGCTGAATTTTTTTTGAAAGTCACTTCTAGGTGAATTTCATGCGTTAATTTGATCCAAAAGTATAGGGTTTTTTTTTTTTTTTGTAAATTTAAGAAGAAGTTCAAAGTTTACAACTGAACTCCCCTATAGAAACATGTGGTACGACCCATATTTGTCATTTTAAATTTTGTGAGAGTTGCATTTAAAAAAAAAAAGTTGAAAAGACAGGTAGAATTAATTCTGCTGCTGCTGCTCCTAAATCGCTTCAGTCATGTCTGACTCTATGTGACCCTGTGGATTGTACCCTACCAGGCTCCTCTGTCCATGGCATTCTCCAGGCGAGAATACTGGAGTGCATTCTCATGCCCTCCTCCAATGGATCTTCCCAACCCAGGAACCGAACCCGTGTCTCTTATGTCTCCTGCATTGGCAGGCGGGTTCTTTACCACTTGCGCCCTCTGCGAAGCCCACTAGAATTAATTCTGGTAATATACTTTAATATACCCATATACTCAAAATATTATTGTCTAAATACCTAATAAGTATAAAAGCTATTCATGTAATGTTTACATTTTTTAAAAGTTCCAAGGCTTTGAAGTTCCGTATGTATTTTGAATTGGACTTGCCACATTTCAAGTTCTCACTCAATAGCCATGTTGGACTAATGGCTACCATATTGGACAGTAACAACTATAGAACAATAGTGATTATTGTTTTAATTATACTTTTTATAATGAAGTGTTTTTACCATGTTATATGTATAATACATATGTTTCTATTATACACATGAATATATATTCTACAAGATGTCATCAGCCTGAAGTTATAAATTAAGTTTTGGTTTTGTTCATTGCTATAGTGCAGTATTTCTTTTTTTCATTAAATCATCCATGATGAAGTACTTTTAGACATTTTTCCTTAATTGCAACCCTTCATGTAATTTTACCACACATATACCATATACTGGTATATCTTTGGAGAGCCACAAGCCATTGTAATATTTAAAAGTGTTTTCCACACACAAACTCATTGTTGTCCCCTTCGGGGAGTGATATGTCCCACCTTGAGCATGTGCTGTGTCTCAGTCCTATACCAAGGAAATAAATCAGATCAACTCTACTGACTTAAGTTATGATTTGCTCCAGACAAGTAAGAAACGTGATCATCCCCACATTTTTTCTTATCTTATACAGTCCACTTTCAGGTTATTTCTTATGTAGGAAGGAATTCACCCTCTTCCTCTCAAATAGACAATAAGCCTTGGATTTAGGAAGCTTATCATTTTTTCACTTTGTTTCTGAGAGATAGACCCAAAGGAGTGACGTAGGTAAAATTTGTTCTCCTCCAGCCACATAGGAGCTCAGCTTGCATTTCTGGATGCTGATATTGGTAATGGTACTTTCCAAAATGAATATTAACTTGATTAAGAAGCCTCATTACTTTCTTTTATCATCACTAAAATTCAGTTCAGATCTATTTCTCTAGTATTGTGACAATACCACATCGATGCTACCAAGCCTTCGAATATGATCATTCCTCCTTTCAACTCCCTCCTTGAACTTGGGTGAACTGCCCATCCTTGTGTGGACCGCTGCTTCACTGAGATAATAGTTATGATCTCTCTCCATCCCTCCCCCTTCTCTCTCCCATCCCTCTTTCTCTTAACCGCACAGCACAATATGCCCTTTTGGAGGATATCAAGTCACTCAGACCTCTTGGCTCTACATCAAGCACTGGAATTAGAGTATTTGTAACTCTGTTCTCCAGCTGGAGATCCGTTGGTTTTTGTTTTTGTTTTTTTATATTTCAAGTACACTGAATTTTTATGTGTGATTCAATGCCTCTGGCTTTACACATATAAATTGTCTTAAAGGATGAAATCATATTTGGAATGAGAATTCCAGAATGAAGAATTCAGATTGCTGAATGGAATTAAACTTTAGTGCTACAGAAAGGAAGCTCTATGGTCTTATATTTACAACACGTTAATGGTTTAAAAAAAAAAAATTCTGTGGAGGTTGCTGGTACCCACCGAAGGAGTCCTAACTGGAATGAACAACTTTAACAAAGAACTCACCCTGACAAAGCACCAACACAGGCTCCGTCTGACAAGGTTCAACAACATTCCTCACAATGGGAGATCTTCTTAGCCCTGAGGTTTGAATCTGACTTTAACCTACCTAGCCCAGAAAATCTGAATTGGAATGCACTCAGACTGTGTAAGGACAATCCTATCTAGACCTGTAATTTGTGTAAATTATTGATGAAAATAATTTACTGTGACTTTATTAGCAGCTGACTTTGAAAATGGATGCAATTTTTCCTTCATTTGTTGGGGAGGGCCTTGGGAGGGGAAAGGGGAATCTAATCATGTCTGTTTTTTTAAGTTTGGCAAACAGAATGTTCATACTGATGTGTTGTGCCTTAAAGACAAGACAGCATTTGTGTGTTACAATGTAACTTTGGTTAAAATCTCTGTAGATAATGAAAAACAAAAACCTTTGTGATCGTTTTTCAGATGACCAAATTTAAAATTCAAGCTATCAGAGCTTAATAATGCCTCAGAAAGAAACTGAGCATTTGTTGCAATAAGAAAATGATAATCATAATAAAGGAAAGCTTGTGTTTTATTTGGGTTCTTAATAATTCCAATAATTGTATGAGGCAACTATTTATGCATCCAACCAGAAGCAGAAGGTTTGGGAAAGACTGTGGGACCTTTACTTAGAAAGTGAAATGTATGTTGAAGCCTCGAGTACCCTTTCTACAGTTTTACTGAAGAAAACTAAAAGCCATATTCATGATGACCTATACAATTTGGAGTTTGACTTTTTGATATGTATAAGTTGTGTAGAAGAAGATATTCATATGAAAATCACTGGCAAATATCACCCAAAGTTTCTTAGACTATGCATGAACATGGCTTAAAATTCACATTGGGTGAACAGGGCTTAAAATAAAGCTAAGTGCATTTATTTCCAATGCCATTGCAAAAATGAAATGTCATCAGTAGTGGAAGGCAAATTCCCCAGACAGTTTCTAAGGAGAGAAGAGAATCAATGAAAATTTTTCCTAGCCTATCATCATAAAATAAACTTACAAATGAGCCAGATCTTGGCAACATTACTAAAATTAAACAGTGAAATGGTATCTGGTTCTCTGTCTTAACACATCCATCCAGTTTCTCTCCATTACCGACCTGTATATCTTAGTTTCTGCCTGTACCATTACTGCACAATGGATTTCATTCATTGCAAGGAGAGCCTGTCATCATTGAGTTTGCATGTTTTTTTTTTTTTCTTCTTGGTGTGTAACCCATGTTAGGAACACGATACAGGTTCTCCTGTCATTTTGTATGACCTGATTTCCCTTGTGGAAATTTAAGGCTTCAAGATCTAGGAGTGTTTTAATGGTGTCTACACCTGCAGTTCTGTGTTTAAAATGTCACAATGTGGAACCTGCCATCCAGCTGCTAACCTGTGCTCCTAACCAGAATCTGGTCCTTGATAATTCATCATCTGAGGCTTCTGTGGCTCCCAAAAGATCGGTGCTTTGTACATTGATCACAACATTCAGTATGGAAGTGTGATTTTGTTTTTCAAGCTATAAATCTGCATTTCTTTTTTGTACACTAAGACCATGTTTGTATCAGGCAAAAAGAGACTGAAATCATGTTCAGCAGATATTAACATTGTGGTTTCATCACATACACACCTTAATCTTTGAATTCTGTAGCTTATGGCTACCTCTGCAACCAAGTAATGTTGCAGACAGATTAAGGACAAATACATAATAATAATAAATCTTACATTTCTATTGACCTTTAGCTTGAAAATGGTAGTTTGAAAAATTAAGAGCTGCATTGATTATCAATACATAATTCTATTTTGTGCACTAAAACCTTAAATGTTTAGTACTGTGAACAAATCAAAGTTATCTTTACTATATAGCCAGGTTCTTTAATAGAATTTTTGCATTGCATCAAAAGTTTTCACTCTTTTTCATATTGAATAAGCAAGACTTCTTACACTGCTAACCCTGCAGGTACAGAAAGGAACATTGCTCTATAGGGCAAAGAGAAGGGTCGCTGACTGCATCAGCAGTGCTGTTTCTTACGCACCTCTTCACTGATAATGATTTGTCCAGAAGAGACTGCCAGCCTGAAACCTAAATGCTGGATTGTTGGTCAACTACTCGGCAGACCCTGCCATGGTACAAGCCAGGGAGCCTACGTCACAATTTGTTCTGCGACTTTGAGCATGCTCAAACTACAGTGTTTCTCTCCCCCACTTAGGAACTCAAGAGCTTCTTCCTTTCTTATCTGAAAAGCATAAAATCAACCAACCAACCAACAAAAAACACCCCCTATGGCAGTTTCCACATTCTGTTGACATTTAGAGGATTGTGCCTTATTATAAACCAATTTGAAAAATGTTCTGTCTCAGACATGGGTTTTTGGTTCCTACATGTACAAACTTGGGCTCTCACCAAGATAGGTAACCACCTCGTGTTGCACCTGATAAGTAGTAAAATGGGTGGCCTGACTGTAGTAATGCCATAGACGAGATTAAGTTACTATGCCCTGCAAAGACTTGTAACTCAAATTCAGAGGCAAAAAGAATATTTTAGTATCATGCAGTTTGCGCACAAACAGTAGATATAACACTCTAAAAATGTTTTTTCCTTAGTCTCTGGTGAACTGATTCAAAATAGTGTCAACAGCATGCTGCAGTATGGAGGTTTTGGGTTTTTTATTTTAATGCACATTTGTTTATGACAAGCCTACATTCTCAGTGAATATGGCATTTAGTATTTCTTTTAAAAACAAATAAGCATCTTGAGCCAAAGTTGCATTTTGACTCCCAACTATAGCATATGGAAATCTAACAAAGAAGAGGGTTTCTGTTATGTATTAGTAAAATATAGATTATTGGGGCCTACATAATTTAAAGAAATGTAAATTAATATTAAAAGCTTGTAAAAATATGTACATCTTTACTATTTCTCAATAAATACCTTTGGAAATGTTTTCATTTTCTTCACCCTCCATGTCGTTGAGTTTCTGTTGTGTGTATTTAGCTCAACTCTAAATAATCTGAAATTTGTATTTAGGTTCCTTGCTGTGTTCTTACCTTCCCTTGGTTGTGCTTAAATTTCAGTTTGCAGTTAAAGCAAGCTGAGATGCAACACAGTAAAATGTCACTAATGAAGACTGGTGTACTAAAAGATGTGAGCATGGTTTTTTACATACACACGGTTGTGCATGTGAGCTCAGTCACTAAATCATGTCTGACTCTTTGTGACCCCATGGACAGTAACCCGCAGTCTCCTCTGTCCATGAGATTTTCCAGGCAAGAATACTGGAGTGGGTTGCCATTTCCTTCTCCAGGGACTCTTCCCAAACCAGGAATCAAACACACATCTCCTGCATCAGCAGGCAGATTCTTTACCACTGAGCCGTCTGGGAAGCCCCATACGCGTGCTCCAGTTGTGTCTGACTCTGTGCGACCCTATGGCTGCAGCCTGTTAGTCTCCTCTGTCCATGGGATTCTCCAGGCAAGGATACTGGAGCAGGTTGCCATTCCCTCCTCCAGGGGATCTTCCTGACCCAGGGATCGAACCAGCATCGCCTGTGTCTAACCTGCATTGGCAAGCGGGTTCCTTACCACTAGCTGGCACCTGGGAAGCCTCAAGCCCCGTATAGGTAGTTACATTAAAGTAGAGTGCATAATGTAATCACACTTTGTTGGTGATTAAAATAATACCATTTAGAATATTTAAAGCAAGTTCGCTTTAGATGAATATGGCATATGAATTATAAGTATCTTCAAAGAGTGATAAAGGAGTGTTTTTAGCCCTGAAACAGATATAACAGCTCTTTTATTATCTTGTGTATAGTATTGACTTATTTGCAAATCTGTTATTCAAATGCAAACCAAAGGGAAATTTGAGACCAATTTCATTCACAACTTTTAAAAACATCAACCTCCAAATTGCTGAGTAAGTCCTCATCTCTAAAATTGCATCTGCTCATCCAACACTTCTGTCATGTCCCTCCTTTACTGTTAAATAATACTTAGTCCTTACATTTACAATTATCCAACAAGACATATATTTTATATATATTTTATTTAAATTTGTATTGGATAATTCACCCATCAGAATGTATGTTCAGTGAAGGTAGGAATTTGTTTTGTCCTGTTCACTGCTATATGTCCAGTATCTAAGAATGTGTGTTTCATATAGTAGTTATTCAAAAAACCTTTGTGGAATGCATGCATAAACCATAGGAAAATATGACCATTGTCAGAAATTAAAAGAAATGTAAAATGGTAGAGCTAGATTTTTTTAAAAAGTAGAAAAAGAAAACCCAGTTAAGACCCTGATGCTGGGCAACACGGAGGACCGGAGGAGAAGGGGACAGCAGAGGCTGAGATGATTGGCTGACATCGTGAACTCCGTGGACATGAGTCTGACCAAACTCCAGGAGACAGTGAAGGACAGGGAAGCCTGGCGTGCTGTAGTCCATGGGGTTACAAACAGTCGGACATGACTTAGCAACTGAACAACAAAGTTTGGATGGGACCAATGTGAATTTTTACAACTTAGCTGGATTGTTTACTGACATAATATTGACAATTCATGAAAATAAAGAACAAGGATGGCCATAAGCAAAGGTATATTTGGAAAAAAAGTTATACATGAGCTGCAAAGTTATACGTGAGGAAAAAGTAAGTCCATAGTAAATCAATGA